TCAATTCTCGGACATCATAACAATTATCGCACTTACATTCTGCAATGGGTTTGTTCTGACAAAAATAGTCCTTACAACAAGGATTCGGCCCTATCGGACTGCACAAAGCGCGGAAGTAGTGCATTCCATCGGCGGAAACGTTTCCGCACATATTATCCTTTCGGGTGTGAGTTAAGATGTTGATTCCATTGATGGACATAAACTTTTCCTGGTCTCTTTTCTGTTGCCACGTGGCAGGTTTCAGTTCCCAGTGTCCATGCTGCATCCAGTCTAAAACATTCGGGCATTTTCCTTGTGAAGAGCCTAGTCTTCCGTTTGTTTTTGATTCGATAACGGTAATGAAATCATGGATGGTTTTCGATCGATGTTTAACTGGAAAATGACTAAAGACAAATAACACTGCTGCGAAAATAACGAGAAACTGTGTTGCGTTGCTTATAATTTGTCGATAGGGAATCCCAAAACTTAAAGATGGCAGACATTTTTTGGATTCCATGACTAGATTTTAAACGAATTGTCAAAGATGCTGAGGTAACAAAATTTAAACACTAAAAGCACAAATATTGTTCTAAATCATGCTACACCATTGTATAGAGATATCTGCCGAGTCTACAAAATCAACAATTCTCAAGCACTCATTTTCCGTGGTTGTGTTGAGTATGACGTCCACTTACTGCGTTGTTATAAAATGGAATGATTTTAAAAATGTTCACCTTTTTATGCAAAGGTAATGGATTTAAGGTAAAGATAGTGCTCTGTATTAAATAGCTTGAAGTAATGTAACAGCAGTCGAATATACCCGCCATGATTCAATAGCCCCGGGGTTATTTCCCTTTATTTAAGTTTATGACACCGCAGTACTTCAACCATGTGTTACAATAAATGGGTGGTCTGTTCAAATCCTAAGATTACAGGGATTAGTGAATGGATTAATGTATACCGACAATAAAATTAAAATAAAGAAATGAAATGGGATTATTTTATTGTCCTCCTAATTTCATTTCTTTTACGTGCACGCCAACGTGTACGCGGGACCTCGGCTGTTTGTCATATTCCAACAACTATACACTGCAACACTGAATTTGGAAAAAAGAGCTGAAAAATCCCGCGGAACGTTCTATGATAGCACGGAAATCGAACCCGGGAACTCCTGGATAGTGACCAAGCCATGTACTCACTGAACCACCGTGGCTCCTTTAAATAAAGAAGGTTGCGACGCATGGAAGAAAGTTTGTATATGAATATTTTAAACCGATGTTGATTTGCAACTCAATTGGGGTCGATTATGTGTGCATGGTACACCAATGAAACTAAAATCGAGGCCCCGTGAATATTGGTGTTCACGTTAAAGATCCCTTGACAGATGGAATTCGATATAAAAAAAACAACTTTTGCCCGTTGTACATTGTTTGGCGTAAGCCCTTCTTCGTAAATCCAGTCAAAGCAGGGGGTTGGATGGCTGAATGGTTGGCACATGCGCGCTATTTATGTTGTATTAGTACCTGAATAAAATTTTCTTAAGTATATAAAAACACATGCGCGCTGTATCATTGATTCAACTGGTGTGGTTTCAATTCCCCTGTTGTACGTGACAAGGAGTAGGGTCGCCTGTACAACCTCGTGGGTTTTCTCCGGGTCCTCCGGTTTTTTCTCACTGCTTAAAGACCCCTACGCGCAAACGAATTATTTAAATAAAATTGAACCATGTGTTAGTCCCAAAATGCCTTAGTTCGTGTCGAGTGGACGTTAAACCCTATTTCTCTCTCTCATGAAACTTTATCATTTACGTATTTCTTTAGTTAGCTATTTTGAGATGAAATCTATTTTATAACATTTTAGAGTGGATTTATCGCGTTGTTTTTCTACTTTTAGTGTAGTTTTGAAACAATTTGTCAGAACGAATTCGTTTAATATCTATACTAGCTTTCATGTTCTATATAAAATCTATTTTTATAACATCCGTAGGAGCAGAACAGTTGGACGTCAAACTCCATTTCATTTTCATTTCGATTAGGATATCCGAGAATTGATTCGACATGTTAATTCCCTTTTTTCCATTATCTTTACGAAACGCACTACTATGGAATTATTAGACTGTTTGGGTTTTTTTTTATTAATATTAATCATTGATTCGGTGATGTATTATTACACATCTATCAGAAATGAAATGAAATAAAATGGTGTTTAACGTCCTACTCTGCTCCAACTGAGATAGTGAAGGCGGGTATACGCCATACAGTGTGCTATGAGGGAAATTTTGACCGGACAGCGACGCTATGTACTATGAGGGAAATTTTGCCCGGACAACGACGCTATGGCTTACTCATATAGAATTTCAACTGCCAATGGATCTTTTAAGTGCACGCCAATGTGTACACGAGACCTCTGTTTTTCGTCCCATCCGAATGACTAGACAGCTGTCCTGGCCAGGCCCTCCGTTCTCGGTCCCTGAAAACTACACAGGATAATTTCGATGAACTCCGGATCGAACTCGCTACCTCCAGGCTAGCGAGCCAACGTATACCCACTTAGCCACCGTGGCTCCAATGTTTATCAGTCAAGGTGGCTCAGTGATAAGGTGCTGGCTGGCGAACCTGGACGTCCGCAGGTTCGATCCTGTTGTCGTGAAACTTCCTGAGAATTTTCCGGTAAAGACAGGATCTCGAAACGCCACTCTCAGTGTACAGAACGGAGGGCATGCCAAGCAACACGGTCTAGTCGTTCGGATGAGACAATAAGCCCAGGTCCCGCGTATACACTGACACCCTAGATATTTGGAATTCATTTGGTGAGCGGGCAAATTTTCCTCATAGCCCACTTCATGGTCTTCGTAACCCAGGTAGGTGTAGAAAGTCTACCATCGAAACTCATTCATTCATTCATTTCATTTTTTTTTTCTGGTAAAGGTGGTTGGATAGCCAAATGGTTAGCGTGTGCGCGTTGTATCATTGAGTCAACTGGAGTGGTTGTACGTGACAGAGAGTAGAGTCGCCTGTCCAACCTCATGAGTTTTCTCCGGGTCCTCCCACTGCTAAAGACCCCTACGCGCAAGCGAATTATTGAAATAAAACTGAACCATATGTTAGTCCCGAAATGACCTAGTTTGTGTCAAGTGGACGTTAAATTCTGACATAAGAAATAAAAATGAGATGAAATGGAGTTTAACGTCCTACTGTTCTGCTCCTATACTGGGCTAATGAAGACGGGCATACGCCATACAGTGTGCTATGAGGGAAATTTTGCCCGGACAGCGGCACTACGGTCTACTCTTATATCGAATTCCAACTGCCAAGGGATCTTTTACGTGCACGCCAATGTGTACACGGGACCTCGGTTTTTCGTCCCATCCGAACGACTAGACAGCTTTCCTTGTCAACCCCTCCGTCCTGCATCACTGTCATACCGGAAGACAAGATGTATTAACTCAAATAAACCACTAGACATCGGTATTATTAATTAAACTACCCAAAATAGTGCAAATTTAGTGGGTGGACAAGTTGGTGAATAAAATACGATAATATGAAAATAGAAAAGATGATACGTTATCAGTGATGGTTAAAACTAATAACCTCTTATTCGTACCTTCATTAGTCTTAACTCTAGTGGCTGATTCGTATCATGACGTGGTGTCGTGATATCGTCCTTCCTAAGGCGATAACACGACATCACAACAACCTGACAACTTTGTTGACCAACACCAGGATCAGTGTACAGAATCCTAATATTGAGATGAACATAGTCGCTTCTACCACGACCTCTCGACATCACGACATTTTACCTCGACAGCACGACATTTTTACCCCACAACATGACATTGAAATTGTCGTAATGTCACGTAAAAATGTCTTAGTGTCGCGTAAAACGTTAGTTGGGGTTCGATCTCGGGGTGGGCCAAATATGTTCACGATGATTTTCCAGCATGATTTCCCCTGCACCACTGGCAAGGAAAAGTATCTTGAGGTTCGGATGGAACAAAAATCCGTGATCCCTGGCACAATTTCTGTCATAAAATTTTGTATGCCAGTTTTCATTACTGGACGCTTAAAACCAGTAGGTGCAGAAAGATATACAGGACGCTTAAACCCATTTCTTTCAATTATTCATTTTTCTCAATGTTTCTCACTCTTTGTTCATTTCCCAGGTTCACCCATAGTAAATAATCTATACATACATGTATAGTACTTAGACGTTCGCAGGGCTATTACCCTTGAGCATTATACGCGAGGGGTTGGGTTGGGGGGGTTGGCGATGTCTCAGTGAGGTCTCGGATTCGCTCCCGGTGTTGGCCGAAAAAGTTCCTTGGAATTTTCCGGAGTGGTTTCCCCTTGGTGTTGCAAGACATAGGGTCTTACAAGGATAGCTTCCTAGTCATTCTTGTGGGACGAAAAGCCGAAGTCACTTGTACACATTGGCTGACACGTACAAAAATCCTTGACAGTTGGAATGCCTTGTACATATTGGCGGGCACGTACAAAAATCCTTAACAGTTGGAATGCGATATTAAGATAGGCCGTAGCGCCGCTGTCCCGAAGAATGTTCCCCATAGCGAGAGAGAGAGAGAGAGAGAGAGAGAGAGAAATGGGGTTTAACGTCCACTCAACACAAACTAGGTCATTTCGGGACTAACACATGCTTCAATTTTATTTCAATTATTCGCTTGCGCATAGGGGTCTTTAGCAGTGGGAGGAAACCGGAGGACCCGGAGAAAACCCGCGAGGTTGGACCGGCGACCCATCTCCTTATCACGTACAACCGGGGAATCGAAACCCCGCCAGTTGACTCAATGACAGACCGTATGATACAGTGCGCGCGTGCTAACCATTCGCCCCCCACCCCCCCCCCCCCCCCCCCGTTCCCCATAGCACACTACATGATGCATCTGTATGAACATGAATATAAGCTCATGTTTTATATTCGTTTTATACATTGCAGTGTCCAAAGCATACCAAAAGATGCCTAACCTTGTAATTCCAAGATAACATATTTCCTCAAGATTTGATATTTTCACATTTATTTATTGGCACAAATGTCATTCCATACTAAATCAAAATCTACAAACAATAATAAATAAAACTCATCTAAACATCGTCTGTCATTGAATATACAAATATATACAATAGATATATACAATAGACCAGCTGTATAACATGATAAACAAGCCAACAGTGAGGCTGATGTCCCCCGCCGAAATTGCAAAATAAATAGATGACACATATTAATTAATCGCACATTTATTTTTTTCACTAAGTTTCATCACTCTCTATCAGATAGAATCAAGATTATCTTGTCCCAAACCATCGACAAATGAAATCGATTAGCTCTGCTTAGCTTCAGCTCGAAATGTAAATTATTGAACTCAGTCAAGACATTCACCTAATGAACATCTACATATACATCAAGTTTAAACATTCACCTAATAGACACCTATGCCAAGTTTGAACATTCTACCTCAATTAGAAGGAGAGTTATTGTGTTCCAAAGTTTCTACCAATCAAATTGCTTATCACTCTGCTTACCCTCAGCAAAAAATGTTCATTATCGAACTTAGTTAAGGTATTCATATAATAAATCTATACACCAAGTTTCATCAATCTCACTTAATTAGAACTAAAGTTATCGTGTCCCAAAGCATCAACCAATCAAATTATTTATCTCTGCTTACCCTAAGCGGAAAATGCTCATCTTCGAACTCCATCAAGGCATTGACCTAATCAACACATACACCAAGTTTGAACATTCTAGCTCAATTATGAAGAGAGTTATCGTGCCCCAAAGTATCAACCAATCAAATTGCTTATCTCTGCTTACCCTAAGCGGAAAATGCTCATCTTCGAACTCCATCAAGGCATTGACCTAATAAACACATACACCAAGTTTGAACATTCTAGCTCAATTAAAAGTTATCGTGTCCCAAAGCATCAACCAATCAAATTGCTTATCTCTGCTTACCCTAAGCGGAAAATGCTCATCTTCGAACTCCATCAAGGCATTGACCTAATCAACACATACACCAAGTTTGAACATTCTAGCCCAATTAGGAAGAGAGTTATCGTGTCCCAAAGCATCAACCAATCAAATTGCTTATCTCTGCTTACCCTAAGCGGAAAATGCTCATCTTCGAACTCCATCAAGGCATTGACCTAATAAACACATACACCAAGTTTGAACATTCTAGCTCAATTAGGAAGAGAGTTATTGTGTCCCAAAAAGTGTGACGGACAGACAGACGGACGGACGGACGGACGGACAGACAGACGGACGAACCCATTTTAATAGTCCCCTGCTTTCTTCGAAAGGCGGGGGACAATATACATAATTAACATACAGATGTGACGTAATCTTTTAATGTTGCCATATAGTATATTATAGAAGATGGCTGATTTCACAGAAATGGGAGTGCGTGCCATGGGTTAAATCGGCATTTTAAGTTATCTTTAAACCCACACACAAAAAGCAGGGTTAATTTTTACTTACCCGAGATTTTTCAATAACGTTTGTACAAACACAAAGACTTTCAAAATTGCTAAAAATAGATTTGTCACAAGAAAAGCGCCAATTAGTCATGCACACAATACAAAAAAATGAGATCCATATCCTGTCGTTGCCTGGTAACAAAATATACATTTATACAGTTTACAATATATCTATCAACAACAATTCCACCATATTTAACAAGACGTCAATCCCATCCTTTCAATGTTTAAAACCCCCCACCTCGTCCCACCATGTATAACAAAGATGCCCTCCCCACCCGCCATTGTTTAACAACCCGTCCATATTAAACAACCCCACCCCTCCAATATTTAACAACCCGTTTCAACCCATGTTTAACACCCCGGCTCCTTAAATGCTTAACACCCCGTTTCTCCGATGTTTTACAACATTCCCCATCGATATTTAAAACCCTACCCACCCAATGTTTCAGAACCCGTCCTCACCCACCTTTAACACCCCAGAACCACAATGTTTAACTTCCGCCCCTCCATGTACATTAAACACACTCACGCCTCTAATGGTAGCACCTCAGCCCCTCCGAGTCCCGTGTACACATTGGCGTTCACGTTAAAGAACCCTTGCCAGTTGGAATTCGATATAATGCCCGGGCAATATTTACCTCATATCACATGCGTATGTCAGTCTTTATTAGTTGTGCAAAACAGTAGGACGTAAAACCCCATTTCTAATCATTTCACAAGTCAATGGCCAAACCATTTTTATACCTAGAACTAACCTATTCTTATTCCCTTGTACAATGATGAACTTCACGTTGAAATTCTTGTTCATATTGTTCTTTTTAACATGTCATTCATCTCTAGACACATTTCTAATTTATTGTATACCGACAAGCTCCATACAACATCATGTAATTGTTTTTGTATTGTACATTTATTGTATGCCAATAAGCTATAACCACATCTACTAAGTAATTGTTCTGGTGTGGTCTTTTCATTGTATATCAAATCTATTTCAGAAAAAGTATATTTATGGTGTACCAAATTTGATTAAAACACAGATCCTATTTCGTTTCATTTTTTTATTGTTCAAAGTTTAGTTTTACTTGTCTTTACTACACTAGGATCTGGAAGAGTTGTTATATTAACGACGTACTGGTTGAAGTGAGTTCTTAGCGTGCGATGCACGGGACTATGGATAAACCACTAGAAGCGTCTAGGCTGATTGATTAATCAATGTCTGACGGGATTGGGTCAACAGCCGCTCGTACGACCGGTCAGATCTCCATGTAGTGTGGGCCATTAAAAGTATAAAAAAACGAAACGAAATACAGATTTGTATTTTAATCAAATTGTGGTATATCAATAAGCTATAAACACATCCTCTTAGTTATTGTTCTTGTATTATCTTTTCATTGTATCAAAATATATTTCACTTTATGTACATGTTTTCAGCTGACTAATAAAATATAAGATTCCAGTGTTTTGTAAATAACTACTGATACGTACGTATAATACTATAAAATCAGAAGGAATTATTTTTCAAATTCATAAAAAATATAGTTTTTAAATTTTGAGGAATAAAATAAAGCTATTTCATTTCATAGAATCCAACAGTGGCAGAATTCGTGCACAAGACAAGAAACGCCCACTTTTACTAGAACACCTAATATCACTTTTTATTTGAGGAATTCACATTCAAACCCATGTTTTGTTTATGTGTCGGTGGGTACTGATACACACTTGAGTACAGTATTCAAAGTCGAGTTGGATCACCATGAACTATCAAGTCTGATTCTCCCTTATACTCGGGCATCATCACCACCACCACCAACATCATCACCACCATCACAGAAACAAATAAAGATGCACACAAGACTGAAACGTTGAACAACGGGCTCAATTGTCCACGTTCCCCTTACACAGGTACCCGTAGACAAAAACATGTAACAACATGACTCTGATAAAAGATTGACGATGCTAAATTCCAATACAAACCAGGACGTTAACCACCGGGTTTGTTTGGAACAAAGTCTACCACAAGTTTAATCTTTTAATCATCTAAGCTGGATGCCGATTCTGCCTTAGATATTCTAAGACCCTTGACATGTGTTTGCTTACGGACCCGTAACTTGTCTATTAATGGTTTGAGCTCCGCCTCAGTTAACGAACGCTTTACGTCATCAATGCTGAGTCTTTCTTCAGGAGAGGCAAATATACATCCCGATAACACGTGCTTCAGTCCTGCTGGTAAATCCGCATTAATAGATAGCATGCTTTTCGGATTCACGATCTCTATAAATTCCGACTGTTTCTTGAATTTATAATTGATATAAGGATTTTCTTGGACGAGTAGTTCCCAAATCACCAAACCGAAACTGTACATATCATCTGCAGACGTGTACATTTTCCCGCGTAAAACTTCGGGGCTAAGATAGACAAGATGTCCAACTTTCTGAGTGTCGTTATTTTCAGGAATTATAATCTGTCTTGGCAGACAGCCTCCAATCAGCTTGACTTCGTCTGTATCGGAATCAACCTTAAATGAAAAATAATATATCCGATACAGATCTAGATTACCTCAACAACTTGGGAAAACCTTGAGAAGACTGATATTTTAACTAAAAATTGAATTACTTTGGCCTAAACGAAACATACTAGTATATTTTTAAACAATATCAAGTTTGTCTTGTCTAAGTTTGCTAGCCATGTAAACTCGCCAACTGACAGGCATCATTCGTTCCAGAATAGATACATATGCCCTAATCTACATGTACATAGCTAGCAAGAGAAATGGTTTAAACCGGATTTTAGAAGAGGAAGGGGGCCAAGTAGCGCGTCGACGGGCAGTTAACAGTCTAGTGATCTTAATACAACAGTACTAGAAATGAATGTATACTCTGCATCATTCGCGACACCCGTCGCTATAGCTCACTGGTGCATCAGCCATCAGTTCTGAAACGTCAATGTTCCTGGATGTAATAATCTTGTCGTGGTATATTGAATAGGGTATGGTGGATGAGAGAGGGGCCCAGACTACAAAAAAGTATTCCTTACCATAATAGTTTTGGGTGATAATTCCATATGAACCAAAGATTCTTTATGAAGATACTGTAAACCCAAAATCAAACCATTAATAATTTTGGAAGTCTTTGTCTTGATGTCTCGTATGAGAGGATTCCGGATAAATCTGCCGAGTGGACGAAAATCTCCAGAAAACAGGAACACGGTCCTTTCCACTCTTCTGACTATACCCAGAAATGGGGCTATATTATCATGAGCCAAACACCTGGAATTAGAGAAAACATAATTCACACTTTCGGGTTTTCACTACTTTCAGATCTAACCACCTGTTAAGACAAGCACGTCTTGGAACTGTAGTGATAGCATAATAAATAATACACTCGAGCTTAATTAAACAACCAATTAAATTTCTCCAAAACGGACTTCGCGGAATTACTTAATCGCGGGTTTTGGTTGGCAGGTTGAACTGGCATCAACCAATATCGGCCTGCGCATTGCTGAACGCGCGTGATAAGAAATGTCTTTAAACTAAGATAAAGTGTAAAACACAACCTAAAAGAAAAGGGAGAGAGAGGTGGGGGGGGGTCTTTAGCAGGGGTCTTTTGTCAGGCTCAATGAGAGACCTTATGATCCAACGCGCACACGTTAAACTACAAAAACACCTCCCCCGACTTTACAAGGAATTAAACCATACTATATTATGGTCATATATACGGACTTGCTAAATGTTACATTAAGTTGCGAACCTCAATATCATTAATTGGTTGGCAACAAAATAACGATTGTTTACAGTAAGTGACTTTCCGGCGTGATTTCGGCTTGTCGGTGGTGCAGAATGGAGGGCCTGACAAGGACAGCTGTCAAGTCATTCGGATGGGACGAAAAACCGAGGTCATGTGTACACATTGGCGTGCACGTAAAAGATCCCTTGGCAGTTGGAATTTGATATAAGGGTAGAATTTAGCGTCGCTGTCCGGGCAAGATTTCCCTCATACCACACAGTATGACGTATGCCCGTCTTCATTGGCCCAGTCGGAGCAGGACAGTAGGACATTAAACCCCATTTCATTTCATTTCAGTAAGTTCCGTTACTGAGATTTAAAACAATAGACATTATTCGAAGATGTTGCAAGTACCAGAGCTTAAACTGTAAAAAGTTTTAAACCAATGCGAATATTCAACAAGGCAGGTGGATGCCGACAAATCATAATGTGCATCGGTGTGGGTTTTTTTTTTTATTTGACTATAGTTTCAACTTACCGAATTTTTACAGTTTCTTTATAAATTGTTTCCTCTGATAGAGTTATCGTACTTGTTCGACTCACAAAACAGACTTCTCTCCCCTTGATATCCACTTTACCCATCTGAGTGTAGAAGCAAATACCGTATGTAAACCCTGCAGAACTCTCGTTTAACGATTTGTCCAGAGCCGAGTTTGAGGATTCTGATAACGCTGGATCCACATCCAACTTAATATTTAACGACGTCGTACGAATATCACTGATATAAGACAGTCCAAAACCCCGAAAATGATCAATTGCTTTTTCCAAATGTCGTAGAGTTTCCTTAAACATTTCTTTGTCTTGGCCTCCCCGGTGTCTTGCTTTTTGAATTTCTTCTATAAGTTCTTTCGTAGTAGAAATGAATTGAGGGATTTTCTTTTCGATACAGTGGATTTGCTGTATTAGAGGCTCTGTGTAGCGGTTACAGAGACTCAAGGTTATCTCCTTGTCATGAACCATGATCTCTGCGAATTGTAAAGCTCTGTCTATAAGATATTGGTTGGGATCTGTGTGCATGTTAGACCTCCGGCGAGTTGACTGAACAGCCAATATGGTAGATAACAGTGCACGGGCGACAAGGACCTTTGGTTGAAAGGCCATATTCTTGTCTGGTCTTCCCTCGGCAAGACGTTCCACTTTGTTAACTAACCCACCCTTCTGCCTTGTCATTACCCTATGTAACAAATCTTCTAGTTCTTCTTCCGGTAAAGTGGACGAGGACGAGAAGGACGCAATGGAAGCATTGTCAGTCATTTCGTCATTAATGGCGGTCATCTCCCTGAATAATCCCTGAAGATGTTCGTCGATTAGTGCTTCCACATCTTCCGCCATTTTTTCAGCGTGTCCATTGTCCTTAATCCACGAATCGATTTCATCTACCAAACTCCGAAGAGCAATGGCATCAAAACTATTTGTCTTTTTATTATTTAGACTACTAACAGTACTTGCTATGGACAATGTCGATGAACGGCGCAAATAAAGGGAAGCTCGCAGATCCCATCCTCTGATGCGTATTTTAGTGTTGTGATCACGTAAACTCTGTTTTATTAGCTCGGCGAGATGCAGCCTTTTATCTTGAATAACATTGTGCAACGCGAACACTATAGTTTGAGAGTTGGTTCCAAGGGTAGATAACTTGGTCTCGGCATCTTTAAACTTTTTGTTCAGATCTTCATCCGATTTGTCGATTTGTGACACCATGCTTAACATGTGACTTGTCGCTTGTTGGAGAATCTTCTTTAACCATCTGAAACCAGAGAAAAAGAGGGAAATTAAAAACATTAATTATTCGTTTGTGGAAAATATCATAATTCATCAGTAAAAGCAAAAGAGACCCAAATGTGTGGACTTCAACCTTTCCACGAAGATTGTTTCTGCGAAAGAACGTAAATTTATGCATGCGGGTTTGAACCTTACATTGCGTCAAGGGACCACGACTGCCTTCTAAGCGTTATGTAACTTGGTGTAGAATCGGAGAATGTGATTTGAATAAAGGATTTTTGTCCGGTTTTATTCATTATTCATGACTTTGTGGCGTATTGGGTAACCGAGTTAACATGACAGGATCCATGTGCATTAGTACATGTATGATGCTACTTCCAGTTGTGTACCCAAAGATGGGGTGTTGGGTGGCAGAATGGTTAGCGCGTGTGCGCTGTATCATAAGATCTGTCATTGAGTCAATTGGCGGCGTTTTGATTCCCCGGTTGTACCTGACCAGGAGAGGCGTCGTCTGTTCAACCTCGTTGGTTTTCTCCGTGTCCTCCGGTTTCCTCCCACTGCGTTAGTGTTAGTGTGTTAGTCTGGAAATGACCTAGCATGTGTCGGGTAGACATTAAACCCCATCTTTTTTTAAAATTGTTTTAAAATACTAGGTATCATTTACAAAATGACAAGGAGTAGGGTCGCCTGCCCAGTCTTCTCCTTGGTTTTCTTCGAGTTCCCTGGTTTTCCCCCACAACTAAAGACGGCAACGCGCAAGAAAATTATTAAAATCAATATGTGGCTTTCGTTAGTCCCATAGTGACCTAGTGTTTGTGTTACGCCCCCCCCCCCGCGCCCTTTCTCTCTCTCTCTCTCTCTCTCTCTCTCTCTCTCTCTCTCTCCCGTTAACCGTTAACACCTCTCTCTCTCTCTCTCCCTGATCGACAACCCGATGGCGATAAATTAGCCCGTGCCCTGAAAACTAAAATAGAGTTATTTCCCCTTACCTGTAATAATGTTTTATTGAAGAATCTAAAGCTGTTTGAAGTAGATTCACCAATTGCTTTAATAAAGTAGCATAATCCTCACTGATATAGTCTTTGTCGATACGTATGTGTTTTGACGCCGCTTCGGTGGAAAAGAAAAGAGCCTGTTTGTTCTCAAATCCTGGCCACGCATCACTCAACTTAGATAACGCATTCTGCTTCACTTTTTCGTGTTCTGTTATTTTGTCCCATCTATTACATATAAACATGGCGGCGTTTGGCGCAATATCGTCTCGTAAGTTGCATGGCGATGTTTTTCTTAATTTACGAATATCCCTTAGGAAATCAAGCAACTGAAATTAGAAAGGATTATAATTACAAATTCGGCAAAAAAGAGTAGAAATAACTGACATTACAATCCGTGTTTTTTATGACCTAAAACCTGTATCACATTGAAGTTAAACTATTAAACTATCTTTGAACTTTAAAATATTAATCTTATTCCAACAGCGTTTCATAGAAAAGAAGATTATTTTTTTTAAAATATAAACCTACATTATCAAATTGGTGTAAATGTTTTGTATATAACATTAATAATTATTATAAATCATGTTGATGCTACATATATCAATATAATCAGCCTATGTTATGATTATACTGAAATTTGTATATGAGGTTCCATTTAAAAATAAAATTATATTTAAAAAAAACAATAAAATGAGATTTTTGACAGCCTTCCTAGCACCTTACTTTTGATTGGCTGGTGTAAGGCATGGTAAATCACTTGTGTTAAGAGAGAGAGAGAGGGAGAGAGAGAGAGGGGGAGGGGGTAACATCCACTCGACACAAACTAGGTCATTTCGGGACTAACATATGGTTTAATTTTATTTCAATAATTCGCTTGCGCGTAGGGGTCTTTAGCAGGTGGTGGGGGAGGGGGTGGCGGACCAGGAGAAAACCCACGAGGTTGTCACGTACAACCGGGGATTCCAAACCACACCGGTTGACTCAATGACAGGCCTTATGATACAGCGCGCACGTGCTAACCATTCGGCCACCCCCCCCCCCCCACACACACACACAAACACACACACTTGTGTAAAATATCTTACCCTATCTTCTTGAACACCGCCAGCATTATCAGTTTTAATCAGATATATAAATGCTGATATAGTTTTAGATGATAAAAACTCTGCTACCATTCTATTTAATTTCTCATTCTCTCCAAATCCTGGTGTATCCACTATAGTTATACCGCTCTGTCAACAAAAAATAAATAAAAGAAATATGAAATTTGAATAAACAGATGTTTTCCCCTTAGAGGATGGAGATGGTGGGGGGGGGGTAATTATTTGCGGCGTTCTAAAGCCTGGGGTGGGGGTGGGGTCACGGTAGCTAAGTGTGGGTAAGACGCTGGCTCGCTAGCCTGGAGGTCGGGTGTTCAATCCCTGCATTGGCCTAGAAAGTTCATCCAGGATGCAGGACGAAGGGCATGGCAAGGACAGCTGTCTAGTTGTTCGGATGAGACGAAAACCTGAGGTCCCGTGTACACATTGGCGTGCAAATAAAAGATAGCACACTTTATGGCGTTTGCCCGTCTTCATTAGCCCATTCGGAGCTGAACAGTAGGACATTAAACCCCATTTCATTTCATTAGCTCAGTTCGGAGCATCCTAAACATGACAAATGGTTAACATTTTACCTTCAAAATCTCAGCCGGTAGATATATTTCAATTTCTTTTATACGGGATACGGCAGCTCGATTATTCAAATTCTTCTCAAACACAGTTTTATCTAAATTCGCTTTGGCCTCTTCCAGGTTTTCATAACTTCTGTCATCTGTATTGCCATTTTCGTAGAATAGTTTCGACCCGTATGTGCTTCCATACTTAAGTTTACAAATAAGGAATGTACAGCTTAGAGAGTGTGTTGGTAGGATGTCCACACCCAGTAATAAGTTTAATATACTACTTTTACCAGCACCGGTTTCTCCTGAAAAATACAGGTAAAAATAAGTACATGCATCCCTTGATTACACAATCAGGGCAAAATTTACAAGGTGGCAAATTAATGCCCCAGACGCATGCGCTCTCCCCAGACTTCATTTATTAAACTAAATCGTGGATGGGACGAAAAACCGAGGTCCCGTCTATACATCGGCGTGTACGTAAAGTAAAAGATCCAATGGCAGTTGAATTTCGATATAAGAGTAGGCCATAGTGCTGCTGTCCGGTGAAAATTTCCCCCATAGCACACTGTGTGGCGTATGCCTGTCTTTAGTAGCCCAGTCGGAGCAGAACAGTAAGACGTTAAACCCCCTTTTCATTTCATTGAGGTTAAACCGTTTTACAATATTCGATTATATCCGGGAACCTATAAATATACCTTAAGAAGTGCATCGAGACCGCCGAGTTCTAAATTTTGAGTGTCCTGGCTCTTAATCATATCAATAATAGTGATTTTTCAACAACAACAAAAATTACCTGAAAATACAACACAACAGTCTGATGTTTGTAGTTCGTTTAAATGCCTAGTGAAGTCTGCATCCAGATCATCACACAAGTTGCCAGCTTTTAGAACCGTACTGATGGAGTTAATGCAGGGGTCGATACTTTCTCGTACCTTATTCAACAGATCAATTATGGCCTTTCTTTTCTTCTCATGTTTACTTTTCATCACAGCGAACCCACCATCGGCCTGAATTATAATTTAACATATTCCTTTTAAAAATGTTACTATTACTTTCTAAATTTAATCATTACAATTACTTTCTCATTTCAGTAATGTAATTGTCTTTTAAATGTAACTGACTGATTGATTGGGGGTCACGGTGGCTAAGTGAGTAAGACGCTGGCTCGCCAGCCTGGAGGTCTGGTGTTCGATCCCTGCATTGGCCGAGAAAATTCATCCAGATTTTCCGGCGTGGTTCCCACTTGTCAGTGATGCAGGACGAAGGACCCGACAAGGACAGTTGTCTAGTCGTTCGCGTGGGACGAAAAACCTAGGTCCCGTGTACACATTGGCATGCACGTAAAAGATCGCTTGACAGTTGGAATTCGACATAAGAGTAGGCCGTAGTGGCGCTGTCCGGGAAAAATTTCCCTCATAGCACACTGTATGGCGTGTGCCCGTCTTCATTAGCCCAGTATAGGAGCAGAACAGTAGGATGTTAAACCCCATTTCATTTCATTTTCATTTTCATTTCAATTGATTGATGGATTATTGATTAGTTATACTCTTTGATAACCCATGTGTTTAAGTCTGTCTAGAAAAGGGTTCTAAAAAAACAAATTATAAAATGAAAAAGTTATGTTTTTATTTCTGCTTTTGTTTTCAAACCTTGGCACTACTTCATATTAAAATGACCGCGAGATTTATTAAAGTACTGTGGAATAATACCGAAATTTCAAATTAGTCATGGAGGTATATCCAATATAAATAGTGTTGATATGACTACTACTTGCATTGTATATGTTATAAAAATATCGATTTTGTCAAGTCAAGCTATTCAAATTTATAATTTGAAAGGAGCAGAGTTAATGCTATTCAATCTATTGTTCACTTACGCATACTTGCCTAAAAATAGCCACTGTTACAGATATTATCTATGGCTAGAGTTATAAATACCTCAATTGAAAGTCAGTTTATAACTGGAGATAAAAAATATTTCATTGAAAAGACTTTATTCTTAATGTCTTTCAAAATAAAGCTATAGGTATGAAAGCAAAAATATGTTGGATATTTTTACTAGTTTTAAATAAGAATTTAATTTCGTTTCAGAAAAATAACTAGTGTGTTTATGAAAGGTCATTTGGTTTAACTGAGATTTATTTTATTATTTTTATATTTTATATTCGAAGCACACTACATTTGGTATTTTATAAAGATGTTATTGATACTTATGTATTAAAGAAGAGATAGTGTGCTTGTAAATAATGGGGAGCCATGATGGCTGACTCACTAGCCAGTGGGTTCCGGATTCGAGAAAGTTCGTCGGAGTTTGACCAGCCTGGCAAAGACCAGTGTTTAGTCCATTGGAAAGTACGAAAGCCCAATGTTTCAAATAGTTGTAAACATTGAACGTGACAAGGAGTAGGATCGCCTGCCCAACCTCGTGGTTTTTCTCCGGTCCAACTGTTTTGTGCCACTGCTAAATACCCCTACGGGCAAGCAAATTGTTGAAATATAATTGAACCATATGTTAGTCCCAAAATGACATAGATTCTCTCTCTCTCTCTCTCTCTCTCTCTCTCTCAAGGAACATGCATGTCCTTGACACATACTAAGTACAGGTATGCCACAGGAATATATTTACATCACGATTGCATAAGTATCGTGACAAGATAAGATCTCTTCGACAGTAATATTAAAACATAATTTATATGGAAAACATTCACTGAGTTTATTTCACACTAAGTTTTAACAAGGTCATCTTGTCGTTCTCAAGTAAATAATGACAGTGTAATGGCAAGAAATCAAATTATATACAACAAGGTAACAAAAACAATAACTAATATACTCTTCAAAAAAAGTAGGGGATATTCAGAAACAATAAAAAACGGCGGAAATGCACTGCTGTTTTTATTAGAGGTAACCAGTGTATGTTAATAACAGGCCAATATATGACGGCCCCATTTCACTCGCATAGAGATACACTGTCAAAGGTGAAAATGGACGTTTTTGATTTTTGTTTTAACAATGAGTAATTGCTCCACCAATCCTCAGACATTCAGCAATTCGTCGTGGCATGCTCCTAATCAACCGCCCAATCACGATTTGGGGCAATCTGACCCACTCCTCTTGCAGTGCCACGGCCAATTCTTGCAGTGTTGTCGGTTGACGTTGATGTCGACGAACACGTCTCCCGATCAAATTAAACGTAACACACTAAAACAAAGATACGCTAAACAGTAAATTTTATGCAAGAACCGATAGGAAAGCAAACATAGATAGGATAAACCAGCAAGCGGCAGTTTTCATTAACCCTTCTTTGAAGTGTCAAATTTGACAATGAACCCCTATTGCGTGTCACATGTGCAGCTCAGTGGTTCTGTTGGGGCGGTAAGTTCTTCATCTTTGGACATACTCTCAAAGCATGTCAAGTGTCCATGACTATTTATCATATCACAACCTGCATAGGTATTTGCATTTAAATACACCCTACCTTTTTTGAAGAGTATATGAAACCATCAAAATTATTGTTTTTGTTACCTAGTTGTATATAATTTGATTTCTTGCCATTACACTGTCATTATGGGCAGCCAGTCGAGTAATTAGCACCAAACTCGTGGAATGTAATGGCGTTATTTTCAAATGCGTGTACAGAAATGTGAAATGACAACGTGGATAGAAACTTGCTCACTGAGATGCATCGAAGAAAGATCTAAACAATATACGATCTCGGAAAAATTAAAATAAAATGAAATGTGTTTTAACATTCAACTTTTCTGATAGCCAAAGGGGAAAAACGAAAACGGGGATACGCCATGAGGGTAATTTTGCCCGGACAGCGGCGGTTCTGTCTAGTTCATCAAATTCCGATCGTCAAGGGCTCTTTTACGTGCACCCCCAGCGTGTACACGGACCATTATTGTTACACCCTAAATTTAAATATATTTTTTTAAAGAACAAACTTGGCTTTGAGCTAAATTAGAGTCAATGAAAATGTCTATCATTAAAATAATTCCCCTGTAAACAAGCCCTTAAATATCAAATCAGATAACAATAACTAGGCCTATATGCAATAAAATATGCCTCTTTGGCTTCTAATAAATCATTATTATTGCTATTAAGCTTGTACATCGGAAAAACGCTAAATTTGCCTAGTTATTGTTGTCTGATTTGATATTTAAATTATGTTCCCTCTTTGTACTACTGTGTTACTATGACGCTATGAGGTCATAGTCATTGTTGCATTACCAAAATGTTGATTATCTGAAGAGCTTAATAAAATAAGCGAAAGTGTTAGTAATCGACAAATTATGTAGTTCTTTTTTCAAAAACTTATATATATATATATATTAAAGTAGATAGAGTACAAGTACTTCTTTGTTTAAGGTAGATAAATGCATAAATAAATAAGAAATACGTCCAGGTAAAAAAATCTTCACTTTACTTCATTCTGTCATACATTAAATCATATAAGCTAGCTATCTGCCTTCTATGGGCGTCTTCAGATATTAATAATATAGGAGCCACGGTGGCTAAGTAAGTAAGACGCTGGTTCGCTAGCCGGAAGGTCGCGGGTTCGATCCCTGTGTTAGCCGAGAAAGTTCATCAGAATTTCCCAGTGTGGTTTCCCCTTGCCAGTTGTGCAGGGAGAAGGGGCTGACAAGGACAGCTGCCTGGTCTTTCGGATGGAACGAAATATCGAGATCCGGTGTACATATTGACGTGCACGTAAAAGATACCTTGACAGTTGAAATTCGATATAAGAGTAGGCCATAGCAAAGCTGTCTGGGCAAAATCCCCCCATAGCACACTCAATGTATGGCGTGGGTAGGCGCAGAACAGTAGGACGTTAAACCCCATTTCATTTCATTTCTCTGACTTATAAGGTTATTGCTATGTATATTTTAATATATTATAGAGAGAGATATTTAGGGCGAACCGGGGGTCTACACAAAGCGGTGATTATATTTTAATATAATACTGTCAAAACCTGCACCGTAATCTTTTTATTTAACAAAGGACTAAACATGGTATAACCAGTCCTTAAATTGAATGGTGTTGGTGAAATACAATCGAACTTCACTATTGACTGGTATGAAATATCTATAAATATATATGAACCGTTGATCTGAGCGTGTTATATTCTACAAAAGTGCGGTCTATAACATTGTTATAAATATACGTGTTGTCACTTATCACACAAACATAGGTCCGGCTGTTGGCACAATTGACTAATTTCCCCAAATGGGGCCCCGCACTAGAAAGGGGCCCCGCAGCTCACCAACTTAAAAAATGTCCAGCAGTGATTTAATGGTATATATGGACTAAAAACATATTCAAACTAATTAATTTGTCATAATTAAGCTTCAAATCCTTCTCAAACATTGTAATTGCGGAGAAATGCCCTGCTTCAAAAATTCGATCAAACCGGGTCATGTTTACGTCACGCGACTTACCTGTCTTGGAAGTCAGAGGAGAATTCATTGCATACATAAAACGATGTTGTCTTTAATCGCTTACTATTTATTACAAATATCGAATCCTAATTAAATTCTCGGATTATCCACTACCCGCGTCTCTTTCCGTCATTTTTATCTCAGAAAGTGTTGTACGTCTAACTCTTCATAAAGTTTATCAACTTGTACATCAAGCGCTCAATGTTCGCGTGTGACCTCTGACATCACGCGTGCAGAAATTCCTTATCGTCGGGCTGTTGATTAGGGAAACCCTTACATTTTTGTCCTGTATACGCTCAATGAGTGTTTTTCGGGGAATCTAGTATTTTTCTAGTAAGATTGGATATCTCTACTTTCAATATATACCAAAATTCACATACTTTTATTGGAAATAACCAGCCGATAAATACTTTTCTGGGAACCCATCTTTAATACTTGGATATCTCTACTTTCTATATATACCAAAATTACCATACTTTTATTGGAAATAACCACCTGATAAATACTTTTCTGGGAACCCATCTTTAATACTTTTACTATGTAGATGTATTAATCAATTACACGTACTAATTGTGAAATAAAGCGTTATATATAGTTGGCCTTAAATATGAATGAATATAGGCCCAGTTAAAGTTATTCATATCCTGCAATGTATTCATATCCTGTAACTTTGGGCCTTCCAAATTGGGCCCCGCATTTACTACAATCGGACCTGCGAACAGGGACCTTTTGTATCGGTACGAAAACGAACACGAAAACGAAAACGAACACGAACACGAAAATATACTGGTTTACGTTTTCGTTCGCATCTCTTCTTACACGTTGTTTCGCAAAACGAAACCGGCAGAATTTCGCATTTCAAGACATTCTATACACTCAACACAATCAACACTATAAGAACTCAAAATTCAATATATTATGCCCCAAGAACTATACTCGTATACACGCCTGTACGTGAATCCTGCGTTAACGGCTATACGGGATAACGTCACAACTACGCATTGATGTTTGTGTTCGTTTTCGTAACGATTCGAAAGGTTCCCATTCTTAAATAGCTTCCTTATTAAATATACATATCATTAAGAAACTAAAAGTAGCATAGAATCTTGTTTTGATTATACATGTTTTAAAATATCTATAGATAGACTATGACTAGTCAACCAATGACATAAATATTATAATTATCAATATCTTCCTTGTTAAATGTACATATAAGTAAAAGAATAGCATATTATACATATATTATATACGTGTTATAATTATTTATAGACCATTAGTAGTCGACAATTCACATAAACATGAATATTGTATATAAATAGATTTCTTATTAAATAACCATATTGCTAATAAAACTTTCCTATTATCGTAAATTTTTTTTCGTAATAAAATGAAATGAAATAAAATGGGGTTTAACGTCCTACTGTTTTGCTCCGACTGGCCTAATAAAGACGGGCATACGCCATACAATGTGCTATGAGTGAAATTTTTCCCGGGAATCGACACTATGGCCTACTCTTATATCGAATTCTAAGTGCCAAGGGCTCTGTTACGTGCAAGCCAATGTGTACACCGGACCTCAGTTTTCCGTCCCACCCGAACAACTAGATAGCTGTCCTTGTCCGGCCCTCCTTAATTTCAACAATTAAATGTATAGGTGTGAAATACGTTACTAACATACATAATTGATAATCAATGTGCGTTTTGTTTTATTATGGTTGTTACGTTATTGGTGTCCCTGAATAATATTATCAACTCATTGTCATATCTATCAAAACATGTATTACTAGAAGAATGCCCGGCTTCGCTCGGGGGTCATAACTCCGAACCCGGAAGTGATAGACTAACGTCACCTGGCCTATGTTACTCCCCGGTCCGAGCTACCCCTATACCCCAAATTTCATACACGGGGCAGACCTAGTGTAGCCGCCAACCCCGAACAGACAGACAAACAGACAAACAAACAGACAGACAAACGACAGTCACAAATATTAGTATAGATTCTTATCTAACAATCTTCGATTTTGAAGGGAATTTAATACCATAATATTGGTACGATTCTTTCGATTGGTCGTCCATTTATGGAAACCAGTGAAGGTCGTATTTACAAGATCCATTTTAAATCTAGTTCTAGCGATTCCCTATTTTTAAAAAAATTTAAACATCAGATTATTATTATTGGACAAAGTAGATATTAAAGGAGATGGCATAGATCTGTTTTAATGAACAAAACTAGTTAATTCGTATTAAAATACTTTTGAAAGCCTGTATCCAAGTCTTGTGAAACTATTTGGAACTTTCAATTTTGTATAGGCGATTATCAAGACACACATGCACCCGCAGAATAATACCTTAAATCCGTTAAGTGATCCCGTTAAGAAAATCAATCGACCGTTTCCGAACAACTCAATAGGCTACAGAAAAACGACACATCCTGTCGTATAATAGCACATCTACTTCTATTTCTAGTGTCCTGTGAAATCCGGGAGTTCACCTTTCAACTAATATCTGACGTCATTTTTGTCAATAAAATTTTGACGCAGCTGACGATAATAATGTTGCAATAAACTTTTTTTAAAAAAAACCCAAACATTTAAGGATACATTATGGGAGATTAGATAAAGAGCTGGTAGTTCTCACTATAATAGTTAAAAACTAGATACTGTAAAGGGAATTTGCTGAAAGTTTCAGTCAAATTGATCCACTATGAACCGAGATTTTAGCGATTGCATTTTCGGCCTAGCCTCGATCATCATTACTAAAGTCGGTAGGATAAAAAACATAGTCTCGATTATCCATTCCATGATTAAATTATGAATGGAACTCGAACAGGAAATCGGAACCTAATCCATGCTAGCGATACCATAGAGAGTTGATTAAGATCTGGATAAGTTAATTAATGTCTAATTAATAATATAGATAATATTTCAGGCCTAAAGAAAAACCTGCAATAGACAGATTTAGCTCTTGCATAATGTATGTTTAACAAACTAGAACATCAACGTGTCAGAATATAGGGTGAATACAGATATTAATCTATACATTAAAACTACACAGTAAAATAAAATTCATGAAAAATGATTCAACTCGATAAATTTTATCTAAAATTATGGCCATTTAATGTTAACATTTGTTTATATTGATTCGCACTGACATCTTTATGCGTCTCAAACAAATAAAATAATCAATATTTTAACCTTTTCGTGTAAGCATTAAGTCGGTTTTTTATTATACCCGGACGGACGCACTTGATTTAAATAATTTCGAATTTTATATTAATATATCAGTATATAATATGTGAAAGATCTTTAATTTTATGACGGACATATCAGTATATAATATGTGAAAGATCTTTAATTTTATGACGGACATAAATCTATAAAATGGATACCAATAACAACCTGTACAATACCGAGTAATAAATTATGGACTTATAAACTTTATATTTTACTTTATGCAGTAGTATCATTAAATCAGAAACATACAGAGAGAGAGAGAGAGAGAGATAGAGTGTGGGTGTGTGTGTGTGTGTGTGGGTGTGTGTGTGTGTGTGTGGGTGTGCGTGTGTGTGTGTGTGATAGAGAGAGAGGGAGAGAGAAGGGGGGGGGGGGGGTAACGTCCACTCGACACAAACTAGGTCATTTCGGGACTAACATATGGTAAGCAATGGGAGGAAACCGGAGGACCCGGAGAAAACCCACGATGTTGGACAGGCGATCCAACTCCTTGTCACGTAGAACCGGGGAATCGAAACCACGTCAGTTTACGCAATGACAAACCGTATGATACAACGCGCACGCGCTAACAATTCGCCTATCCACCCCACTTTCCGCACCACAAACGTAGTTCCCATTCCATTAAAGAAATACAAACTCTAAGAATATTAAAAGAAATTTAAACCATCAATGAGAAGAAATCCAGTAGATTTCGTCAGTTGGATAAAGTCATTTTTAAAAATACCCACGAGTTAGTTAAAGGGGTTTTGCTGTAGGTTCAAGTAAGGTGCGTCAATTATAATATAATGAATATGTATTATGCCTGTTTTCAAGCGTGGAAAGTATCTTAAGAATGCGGAATTCGTTAATTCGATTTTAAATACACTTTCATATAAAACGATGCAAGAAGAACACCCACAAGATCTCTGGTTAGCCATCCTTGAATTCTTTCAAGTTTCTTTTGTTTCATTAATCTGTTCTCATTTCTTGGAAAAGGGACGGGGTATAAACAATCTTGTCATAATCATATTTTCTTTTTTAGCTTTGTATGACATAAGTACAACAAAAACAAAGCGAAACGAAGTTGACATGAAACAAAAAGTTTCTTTGAATATTCAGGGCCATAATAAGGCACTGACTCTCAGGGACTCCAGTGAAAAGATATTTTATTTGTGAATTCAGGATAAAAAAAATTAGTACTCTAGATTATCTATTTTAAACGGTATTCAATAAAGAGAGAGAGAGAGAGAGAGAGAAATGGGGTTTAACGTCCACTCGACACAAACTAGGTCATTTCGGGACTAACATATGGTTCAATTTTATTTCAATAATTCGCTTGCGCGTAGGGGTCTTTAGCAGTGGGAGGAAACCGGAGGGCCCAGAGAAAACCCACGAGGTTGGACAGGCGACCCTACTCCTTGTCACGTACAACCGGGGATTCGAAACCACGCCAATTGACTCAATGACAGACTTAATGATACAGCGCGCACGTGCTAACCGGGATTCAATAAATATTCATGTATATATATTTGCATAAACATACAATGGCAAAAGCAAACTCTATACTGTATACAAGGGTAGCCCAATGGGTAAAAATGTCTTGAATTCACAAAGCATAACTATCTAGAAAATCTTAATCCGCCTCATGAAATATTATAAAACTTACCATTTTAAAGTACTGTTGATTACTCTCTTTAAGTTTATGGAGTACTAATCTTTCCTTCATGGAATCTAGATCAGCCAGCCCCTCCAGATTCACTCCCCATTCGTCGGCTATGTCCTCCACCTGTCCAAAATCATCCAACGCCTTTAAATATTCTAGTTTGTATCCCTGCATTTTGTCTTCTTAACTATCTGAATATAAACAAAAATGGTTTTAAGAAACAATCGAAATTTAATAAATTTTGTAACATTAATGGTGCTATAAATTTCTTTAATTTTGGTCAGACTGAAACATTGTGTTGGGTTCCTCCTGTGTTTTATTTCGATTAGTAATGGCGCAAGCTCTATGAGATTAGAGATAGGATAAGTTCTATATAATTAATTATAGGATACGTTCTATACGATTAGAGAAAGGATAAGCTCTATAAGATTAGAGATAGGACAAGTTATATATGATTAGTGGTAGGATAAGTTCTATATGATTAGTGGTAGGATAAGTTCTATATGATTAGTGATAGGATAAGTTCTATATATGAATATAACGAGTACAAATTAGCTCTACATACATTTAACCTGAATAAATCTCCAGTAAATCGAAAAAATTTATCTATTAAGAAATCTACATATAAGAAATTTGAATTAAAACTTAAATATTTGTATAAATCACAACAGGGTAACATGCTACATCATATGCGAAAACATAATCCAAAGTGTTTTCATAAATTATTTAAGAGGAATAAATCGAAGATTGGTCATAATATAGAATTAAACGCATTTTATACGCATTTTAAGAATCTCGCCTCTACTCCTGTAGTTAACGATGTCGATAATACTTCTTTTAAAGATATTTTGTTTGACCATGACAACGCTAATATTAATATTAATGAGTCTCTTGATGGACCAATTACTGGTAATGAAATTATGATTTCGATTAAAAATCTAAAATATAATAAAGCCTGTAGTACTGATAATATGCTTAATGAATATTTTATACATTTTAGTTTTAATCTTGTTCCTTGTTTAACTGAATTATTTAACAATATTTTAAACTCTGGGTGTTTTCCATCTAATTGGTGTATTGGCAGAATCACTCCAGTTTTTAAGAAAGGTATTAAGGATGACCCAAATAATTATAGAGGCATAACCATAGTGAGTTGTCTTGGTAAACTGTTCACTTCTGTACTTAATAATAGGCTTTTAAAATTTGACAAACAAAATGAATGTATTACCCCGACACAATTTGGATTCCGCAAGAATCTGTCGACTACTGATGCCATATTTGTATTACAATCTCTCATAAATCGTTACCTCAGAGACAAGAAAAAACTGTACTGTTGCTTCGTCGATTACACAAAAGCTTTTGACCTGGTCAACAGGTGCAACTTATGGTATAAATTAATAAAAAATGGTATTGATGGTAAAATACTAACTGTTATTCGATCTCTCTATGATAAAGTTAAATGTTGTGTAAAACTAAATAATGATGCATCTGATATTTTTGAATGTGCAACTGGTCTTTTTCAAGGTGAAATTTTATCACCGCTTCTATTCTCTATTTATATTAATGATGTTGAAACACACTTTAAAGATTCAAATTGTCCATCAATTCCATTAATGTGGCTAAATTTATTTTCTTTAATGTATGCTGATGACAAAGTCCTTATCTCTGAAACAGCTATTGGTTTACAAACTTTATTAGACTCCTTGCACACATATGCAAACAAATGGAATTTAACGGTAAACACTGCCAAAACGAAAGTTGTTGTCTTCAGAAGCGGGGGTAAGATACCCACGAATCAGGTTTGGCGATATCTTAATTTTAATCTCGAAATTGTAAATGAATTCAATTATCTAGGCCTTTTATTACACTATAATGGTAAATTTTTAAAAACACAAAAACATCTGTCTGAACAGGGTAGGAAAGCATCATTTTCTGTCTTCAAAGTTTGTGATGAAAATTATTTTAATGTTGAAACCAAATTATCTGTATTTGATACGTATGTAAATAGCATTTTATGCTATGGTTCTGAAATCTGGGGGTTCCACAAAGGACAAGATATAGAAAAAATCCATTTATATTTTTGTAAACGGATCTTAAGAGTTCGGCAAACTACAAACAGTTCCATGGTGTATCATGAGCTAGGGAGATATCCTTTATCAATAACACGAAAACTTCGAATTTTCAAATATTTTATAAAATTATGTTCTACCAATAATGTTGTTTTAAAGTGTTGTTTATTTGATATAATTAACAACTCAGATCCATGGATTTTAAATCTTAAAAATGAATTATGTTCTTTGGGATTGGGTTATATGTGGGATAATTATCAAAACTTAACTAAATTGGATTATATTATTTTTAAAAATAGAATATTTGATGTCTTTAAACAACAATGCTATGAATCTATATGTACATCTCCTAAAGGTATGTTATAACAGCATCTCATATCTACCTTCGAACTTCAATATTATCTTTCGAAACCTTTAAATTGTAATTATATCACATATATCTCTAGAATAAGACTATCTGCACATTGTTTACACATCGAATCTGGCCGTTTTAAAAATACACCCCGTCAAGCCAGAGTCTGCAACCTTTGTAAATCAAATGATATTGAAGACGAATACCACCATATTGTAATTTGTCCTGTATTCTCCGATCTTCGTAAAAAATATATAAAGAATTATTATATTCGAAATCCTAGTGTTCATAAATTGACTCAACTGCTAAGTGTTCATAATATTAAAGAATTAATTAATCTTGCATTATTTTTATATTACTGTAATAAAAGAAGAAATAATTTATTGAATGTTGCACATTAAAATTTCTCAAGTCGCCTGCTCCCAATACTATACATATGTTAAAATTGTGTACATAACCTGATTTGTTTACTTATTGTGTAAAATATTTATGTATTTATATTGTATGTGTCTATCTGATGAGTCGTATGACTCAAAGAAATAAAAAAAAAAAAAGAAAAGGATGTATACTGTTTTAGATGGGAAAAATTGTTTCGAAAGATTACACTTATGTCTGCTTGTTTTAATCACTTTTGTTTAAAAATGAGCTTACTTTTTCTACAGTTAAACCCAAATTGTTACACCAATTTAATTGGTTGGTTTGATTAACAAATTGGGTTGTGCTTATTTCTTCTCATTTCGTCTTTCAAAGAAGATTATTTCCTTGCTGTACGCGGTGAATACTGGTGTGTCCTCCCTGTGCCCACTTTTGATTAATCCAATTAGGGTCTAATTAGGATTAGTGGATTAAGTGGATAAATCGATGAAAACCCTTTAAAACCCTAGTAGGCCATATTTAACTAACAATTCAATCTGTGTAATTTGTTCTCATTACGTCTTTCATAATGTCCGCCATGTTTTTAGTATGCGTGTCTTTCATAATAAACCGTTTTCTGACTCTATGCATTAGATAATATAAATCGGTACAATTTTTAAAACTTTTGTCCGCCATGTTTTTTAATGATATCTGTGTCTTTCATAATAAACCGTTTTCGGACTACGCATTAAATAATATAAAACTTTTATCCGCCATGTTTTTTTTAATACGTCGTATGTGTTTCTGGTAATGGACTTTCTAGATAGACGTATGTTCAAGGGGGTCATTCCATTCTTTTTGTTGTTTTTGTTGTACCTTTCAAACATTTACTAATATAGTCGCGCATTGAATTCTACAATGTGATACTAGGAGAGCAGATATCTATGCAATGTCATCAAAAAGCCATTTTGAAGCCATTACTATGATATTTACATTTTCGAATATAGCTCATAATATTTGAATGCGCATAATATAACTGTGGTTGACTCACTTTTCGTTATGGCGACGCCAAATTGCGACGTATTCCACCTTGAAATAACAGCCCAATGAAAAATAAATAAAACAAGTGCGTGTGGATATGAACATTGAATTAAGGCGGTAATTAAGGGATTATTTTATTTGTTAAAACAAATATTAAATTCTCTGGGATTTGACGATCTTGAATTAATATGTTATCTTCGCAATGCTGTGGTGAGACATCGTAGCCTACTTATCATGTTCTACAAGTTCTAAAACCCCATCCATTATCCACGTCACAACATTTTAAACTAAGGGACACAACTCTATCTACATGTATGTACGCGGGGATTGACAGACAGACGGATTGACACTATAATTAGGTATAGCGTTAATGATAATCGAAAAAGTTTACTTTTTAAACGGTTAATAAATGAAATAGCTACTACTATTTGGGGGTCTAACACACTTGACGGTATTTTGAGCTTATCTTTTTCTCCAGCCCTTTAAATCAATCGAAAAGTTTCTTTATTTTTAATACGGTATACTGACTGAAATTGTTAACGCTCAGTACAATGGACGTTATCATAATTAGTCTAAGGCATATATTTTTTTCTGTCTGTCTTCATATGTTTTTTTTTATTTTTTGAAAAAAAATATAAAAAAAAACTCTCGTCACGCCACACAAATCGGTATGTGTGCTTTTGCCAAAACCTCCTTTTCATCACGTCTATTGAAACGACGGTAGTCATATTTATTGACTTTTTTATTTGATATTTGAATATCTCGGTGTCGCTCTCTGTCTGATACTAAAAGCCATGTAGCATAATTCACCACTGAACTCTTACGTTAAACTAACATGTACATATCACTGCTTATGTTGATAAATAATCGCGTCAATTTATTAACCAGGTGCAAACAGGAGCCGGTAGTCCCCAGGTTGTTAGTATTGCTGCACACACACTTCAATGCGAATACGTGTGAATAATGAATCACCTTATAATTGATATTGTAGAAATTTTAAAAATTTGTGAATACGTGCAAATAATAAATAACTCTGCAGTTAATGTTTGAAAAACATACAAAGTTTGCATGGAACAGTTTTAAAGCCGTCATTTAGGAGTCTTGAATCTCTTACAAACTACAATACTGTAAAATGTGAATTTATAAAATTATATGAATCAACACAATCTGGTTAAAACACAGATCCTATTTCGTTTCGTTTTTATAGTTCAAAATTTCGTTTTACTTGTCTTTACAACACTTGGATCTGGAAGACTTGTTATTTAACTCGTGTTCTGCTTGAAATGAGGGGTCAGCCAATCAAATGGTCTGTCGAATCGAGTGTTTGACCTTTTTTGCCCGGAACTGTGGGTAATCCACTAGTAAAATCAATGCT